GCCCCGCCCGGACCTGCAGCCTCCAGCCGCTGGGAGGGAGGAGGAGGGGCAGGGGAGAAGGGGGAAGGGGAGGGGAGGGAGGCGAGGAGGGGGGCGCAGATCGCTCGCTGGAAGGGCCAAGGGCGCTGCGTGGCTCGGCGGCGTGGGGGTAAAGCTTGCTCGTCCTCCAGGGGTTCTGACTTGCTTAAGCCAGGGGTGGGACCCCGCGGGCACTGCATAGGACCCCCCCTCCGTCTCCGGCCCTGGACCCCCGTGGCCAGTGCCTGGAGCTCAGGGGAACCAATCTGGCCCAACTCCATTGCCCCGTCCCTACTGGTGTTCTCAGGGACGTTTGCAGTTTGGGAATCGCAAGCTTTCTTCCCCAGAGAGACGGCAGGAAAGACCCACTGCACACCTGTCTGCCACCTCCCTGCTTTCTATCGGGAAGCGTCCAGTGACAGCCCAGGCCCTGCCGCCTGCGTGGGGGGAAGCCCAGGTGCCCTGCACCTGCTCCTCAGGGTCCAGTGGGTTCCACCTCCACACCCAGCTCTGAGAGCACCTCTGAGCCCTTGGAGGATCCTGGGAGAGCAGATCCAGGGGGTTCCCTGGTCCCAGGGCTTTGCCTCTGTGGGAGGCCCAGGGCACTGCAGCTTCTGCTCAGGCCCCGTCAGGTGGGGTGGAGAGCAGCAGGTGCAGAGGGTGGTGCTCTGTGTGGCTGAACCTCCTGGAAGGGAGAGGCCTGGGAACCTCAGCCCCTGTGGTCCTGGCACCCCCCAATTGATGCTGCCCGGACACAGAGGCCCTGCAGCAGCTACTGAGCCACAGGATGGGAACCGGAGGTGGGGGCAAGAAGATGGGGCTGCAGCCGCCCCACCCCAAGGCCAGGTCTGCTCTGAGGTGGAAGACTCCTCCAGACCCAACCAGGCAGCCATAGTCAGAACTTGCTAAACGCTCAGCCCCTGAGCAAGGCCAGTTCAACAGTGACCCCTGCTCCACTCCCAGGCCCCTACATGGTGGGATCTTTCCTCTCCCTGCTGCACAAAGAGGAAACTGTGAGACCGGTTAAGCAGATTGTCCAAGATCTTACAACAATACTGGGACTCCAACCCAGTACACCTGGCACCAGGGAGATCATGTCCTGAAGGTGCCCAGGGCCTGTCCGCCTGTGTCCTTGCTGGAGCCTGGGGAGGTCTTTGCCCCTGAACTCCACTTACCCAGATTCCTCACCAGGCCTCCTCTGGAGCCAGAGCCGATTCTGCCCTGGGCATCAGGGAATCTCCAAGTGGAACGGCATACCTGGACCCAAAAGCTGCCTGCAGCTGGGAAGCAGGGCTGTGAGGCCCAGGGGTCTGGGCCTGGCACCTCCCTGGAGCCTCTGCTTGGAGAGATGAGGAGGGTGGCTGGGCCGGTGACCCCTGCAGGGAGAAAACAGCAAGTGAACGTCTAGCCACCTGGTCTCCACAAGCCCCGTGACTCAGCAGAGCGTGCTCAGCAATTTGCAGACCCAGCCCCACATGGTTTGTGCACAGATACGTGTGATTGTGTGGGTGCGGCTGGACACAGGGGTCAAACCCAGGACCTTCCCATTGAGCTACATTCCCAGCCCTTGTTTTACTGTGTTTTTGAGACAGAGTCTCACTAAATTGGACGGGCTCAAACTTTTGATCCCCCTGCCTCAGCCTCCCAGAGTGCTGGGATCAGTCATGCACCCCCAGACCCTGCCACATTTGTTAAGCGGCCAGCTGTGCTCCTGGGGCCCTGCAACCATCCCAGCATCCTGTGAAGGTGGCTGGCACTGCTCTGACTTGGCAGTTGGAGCAGGTAAGGCAGAAACAGGGCCTCCCAGGCTTAGTGTGAGGATGCTTCCCTGCCTCTGCACTTGGATTTAGAGTTTCATCCTTTACACTTCTCGCAGCCAGGTCCTCCGAACGTTGCCCTGGAGTCCGAGGAGGAGGGTGCATGGTGAGCTGGTGAGCTTGGCGAACCCTTGGAGGAGAGGCCCAAGAGGCACACATCCCTGGGCCATGGGCGTCCTCTCGTGGCTGGGCACAGGAAGTTACCTGGGAAATCTGAAGTCACTGGCAGGGACACTGGACCTCAGTCTGTGATTTTTTGGACCATGTCCAAGCGGCTAGTTCAGGAGCCACACCCTGAGGTCACCCGAAGGTCCTGGCCTGGCTCGGCCCTGCCTGGGGCAAACCTGGGACTTGCCCTGAGCTGGTGCACAGAAGAGCTGAGGGCTTCTAGGAGGCGCTCCACTGCTTCTGTTTGCTCCTGGCTGTCTCTAGAGAGCAGACGGCTGTTGTGCCCAGCCTTACCAGGCTGTAATGGTGCACCCAACAGAGTTCACCCGGCACCCAGTGAGGCCTGGGACACAGGGGCCAGGCTGGGGTCAGCTCCTCCCTCGGCCCACACAGCCCCGTGGCTCCATGCACTGGCTCACGTCTGTCCTGCAGCCTGGCTCTCCCTGAAGATTTGCTAATGCAGTGAGATTCATCGGTCTAACTCATTAATTTGCCCAGCCCCTCCCTTCCACCTGTCAGCTGGAAAGCACTGTTTCAGGAACCATTAATCAGGAAGCTGACTTGGGTTAACTGTGGGTCCCTAAAAGGAGAAGCCCCAACTCACAAGCACTGGAGACTGCTTTGGGGGAGAGGGTCTGGGTGGCCCCAGCAGGGACTGCTATGCCCAGGGGGGTGAGTAATGGGGCTGACCCTGGCATGGTCCCCCTCCCCCATCCATGTCATGACCTTCTAGGCTGTCCCTGGCCTGCCAGAGAGTAGTTTCAGCAGGCAGGCACAGGTCTCTCGAGGGGACACTCCCCTCCCTCTCTGCCCTCTCTACCCTCTACCCTGTCCCGAGGACATCTCCATGGTAACCATCTGCTGGTGTAAAATGGATTCCTGTAAAGGTGGGTGCTTTGGGGAGCATCTGCGGGGTGTGAGTCCAGGCTGCACCAAGGAGTCAAGGGGGAGGAACAGCCAAGAACAAGAGCCGAGTTTCCACCAGCCGGACGGATCTGCGCAGTCCCAGGCGGGCTTCCTCCCCACCGGCCTTTCACCAGGCCCACCGCAGGGGGAGACAGCTGTCCCCCTCTGAGGAAACCTCCACTGGCTCTGTGGAGGACCCTGCGCCCGCTGCACCTCCATTTTCCCTTGTCAGCTGTGGCCCCAAGACACAGGGAGAGCGGGGCGAGTGTCCAGGTGTTTTCTCAGCTCCCGCTGCACTGGGAGCTCACTCAGTTCTTCGCCACCAAAGTCCCCAGAGGATGCAAGTTCACACAAGAGCCCCTGCCGGGAGGTTGGTTGGCTAAGCACGTGTGTTGGATGTGAGGATGGATTAATAAATGAAGGGAGGAGGGGTGAGGACATGCATCGATTGAGGAGTCAGGGCTGAGGACGCAGGCCGGGGTCAGCACCGTCCACTGTCGTCATTCGTCTCCCCGTCATCCTCAGGCGGGGTCACTTACCAGCTTGGCACAACCTCCGCCCTCTCCTGAGCCGCTGCCCGGCTGTTGCTCTCTGGGCCAGGCGGGGACCAGGGCACCCACTGCAGGTGAGAACACACAGTCTTGCTCTGAGGCTGCCCGGGTCCCTCCCATGTCACTCCTCCAAGGCAGGAGTGAAGAGGCCGCCACAATAGACCTGCTGTGCCCCAGCCAGGCCCCCTGATGGGTTTCATACGAGGAGCGAGTTTCTGGGTCAGGGCCCTTCAGTACCACCCAGGCCAGCTCCCTGCTTCCGGTCCAGCCGCCAGCCACCACTCTGCCCTTGAAGTTGCCTTCCTGACGGGAGAGGGACCGCAGATCACCAGTTCGCCCTGCCTCCACCTTCTCTTTCCAGCAAACGTTTTAGAAATGTTTAAATGTTCCAGAAACACGAGAATGGGCCGTACCTCCACAAGGGGGCGCCATCCTGTACTGCCCTCTCCCCCACATTGCTGGAACTTCTGCCCCAGGCCCTCGAGCCACCGTCCTGGCCTGCAGAGACCAAAAGATGCTCTGTGCTCTAATGGTGGAGGGCACAGGAGGAATGGGCGAGAGGCCCCTTATCTTTCCAAGCACCACAGTTGGAAAACAGCAGTGTTTTCCCCATGGGAGGCTGGGACAGTATCACAGGAAAACCATGTCCAGGTCTTTCCAGGACTCCCGCTGTCACCCAAGTTCGGGTCAAGGCTCTGAAGCTGGCCAGGGCCCAATGCCACAGTGGAGTTCCCCTGGCCCAGCTGTGTGGCATGCTGCCTCTTGCCTGGAAAGATACCACGCAGTGTCTACCCTGGAGCTCTCCACGAGGGTTCGCTGTGGCTCCCCAACCTTCAGGCGCTCCTGCCCCTGGCTTCTGTGAGGGTGCCGTCTTCAGGCGGGGCACTGCTCTGCCAGCCCCAGCAGCACTCCTGCTCTCTCCCACTCCGCTGACAAGTGGTTTATTATCTGTGAACTCCAGGGAGGGCCCAGCAGAGAGGCACTGCAGTGATGAATCCAAATGGTCGCTCTTGGCCGGGTAGCAGAGCTCCTGGTGGCAGGTAGCCAGAACTACGTTCACATCCTGACTGCCCAACTGCTCTGTGACTTCAGGAAATCACTCCTCTCCCTGGCCTCGGTTTCCTCAGCAGGGCAGTGGGTAGTGACAGCCCCACATCACCACTCATTGTGAGGGTGGAGGGCCTGATGGCCAGGCTCCCGGCACCCAGCACTCTTGGTACCTGGCCCATTGCTGGAACCATTTGCCATTCTGCATTCTCAGGTAAGTTGCTGTGCTGACCTGTAGGGTCACAAGTCAAGAGCTGTCAGAGTCCAAGCATGAAACCCAT